GGCACCAGACAAATCATGGATACTTTCATCGATGGACTAAATTCATCTTTGCCTAATATTCCTGACTCCGGGCAGCTGGTATTGCTTGATGATTTTAACGAAAGTTATTCAGAATCAAAAGGCGGAGAAAAACTCAAATTAGCGAGAGTGGTTGCTTTGCATAATCTGGAGTAATTCATAACACAGCCGACAAGAATAACAGCTCGCTCATCAACTTTGTTAGATTTGCTCTTCGTTAACACCTCTCAGCGCGTTGTTGATCATGGAGTTATTCCTCTTGCCTTGAGCAACCACTCTCTTGTTTATTGTGTACTCAAAGCAGGTGTCACAAAATCTCCCCAAGAACAATAGAATATCGGTCATACAAGTCCTTTGATACTAAAGCCTTTAATCAGGACTTGGCTAGCGTCCCTTGGCACGTTGTTGAAAACGAGAATAACATTGATGATGCAATGTTAACATGGAAAAAAATTATTTTCTGAAATTGCAGATGCTCAAGCACCCCTTAAGAAACGTCGCGTGAAAGGCGAGCCTGTCCCCTGGATGAATGATAAAATCAGAGTAGCGATGCGTGATCGAGATTATCATCACCGTAAAGCGGTTAAATGACAGGAAATTACGAAATTCTGTCCACAAATCAAAATATTACTTAACAATTATGAATGAGGCTGAGTATCTTACGAAGAATTATGGAGATCGCGGAGGGTGTTATCCGTAGAGGCCATAGGCCGAGGCAGATAACACCCTCCTAGATCTCCATAATTCTTCATACGATACGAAAACGGAATTCAATAATTGTGTTATTATTCATTCAAAATAATTCCTAGTTTAAAAACATAGCTAAAAATGTTTACCTCCATTGATGTTGAGTTCATCTCCCGATAGTGCACGTTTAGGGTTGTTCACTGAGCTCCGCAAATATTCTCCAAATAGCAGATGTCGCCCTTCGAGTTGTCTTCTTGCTGTTGTTGCCATGTTTTTAGCTATTATTTCGCCTAGTTCTTGCTCTTGAAACAGTAAAATTTCCGCCATTTTTGTTTCCACAACTAAAACAACTCAACCTTGACCCCTTGTCTTGGTTAACGGTGCATGAACCTGCAAGGAAGCTGCACTTTTGACGTCATCGGTTGATTAATCGCAAAATTCTTCCAGATTTGGTCATCAGTAGTCGGTTATGGTGAATTATCTGTGTGCTTTTAGCCAATCAGAATCGAGGAAATGTTTTGAATGAATAATAATGTGAGATTATTGAGGAGAGTAAAGGCCACTCGACCAAGATATGGAAAGCTATTAACGAGGTTTTCAGTAATTCTAAATCTTCCACTCCTCAGTGTATAGTTTCTAACGGCGTGCAACACGCAGATCCCAAAGCTATCGCCACGACCTTAAACCATTTTTTTTGTCTCAGTGGGAAGACATTAGCGGATAAATTCAGCTGCTTTTGCTCAAACTTTTCGAAGCCTAAAGAAGTCTGGGTCGGTATCTTTTTGTTTGAAAGAAATGGATGAATCCTTTGGTTTGCAACAATTGTGTTCCCTCAAGCCTAACAAAGCGATTGGTTTGGACAGAATCAGTGCAAGACTGCTGAAATGTGCCTCTTTCTCAATATGTTCGTCAGTCACCAAGTTACTAAATCTATCAATACGCACAAGTAGATTTCCTGAAATATGGAAATGTTCCAAGGTAACAACTCTATTCAAATCAGGTGACCAGACTAACGTATCCAAATACCGCCCGATATCAATTTTGCCAACTCTAAGCAAATTTCTCGAAAGAGCTAGCTGTTCACCTCCCCTTTATGATTACCTGAACACTAACCACTTGCTGACCGACAAGCAAGTTGGTTTCCGACCAAAACACTTGACTGTCACTGCTCTAGCAAGTTTTGCAGAAACGTTCTTAGTAACATGGAGCGCGGGAATCTCTGTGAGGCTGTATATTCTTGGATTTGTCAAAGGTTTTTTATACTGTGGATCACAGTATCCTGCTCGCCAAGTTATCTTCCTTGGGATTAACTCCTAATGCTGTTCAGTGGTTTCAAACCTACCTCATATCAGTCATAGGAAGCAGCGCACCTCATACGGCAAAGAGATCGCCGATCCTCTACCTGTTACCTATGGTGTACCACATGGGAGCATCCTGGGGCCCTTACTTTTTCTTGTTTACATAAATGACCTGCCTAATGCTGTCAATCCCTTTATGCGGACGATACTGTTTTGTACTGCTACGCCTCTAACATAAAAGATCTTGATAATGCTCTTAATGAAGATCTGTCGAGAACAGCTCTGTGGCTAAATCGAAAAAGCTTACACTTAAAATAGAGAATACCAAGTCTATGCTTATCGGCAGCGATCGCAAATTGCTTGCTGCTAACGCTATATCTGTCTCAATATTTGATAAAGAAGTTGAGGGCGTTGGACGCTTTAAATACTTGGGTGTAACTTTGTCCTCAAATTCTACGGGACGGAGCATATTGAATATGTTTCCACCAACTGAAGATAAATCAACGCTTAGGGCTTTTAAGGAGAATTAAGAGTTTGCTTACACGTAATGCGCGTATTCTTTTCTTTAACAGTCTCATTCTCCCGTTGATTATGCCGACATTGTTTGGGGGGACAAGGACAATGCTGTTCTCATGAACAATTTACAACTGCTCCAGAACAAGGCTGCTAAAACTATATTAGACCGCCCTTTTCATTCATCTGCTGCCGACGCGCTTGAAGCCCTTGGTTGGTTAACCTTAGAGAAACGTATGGATCTAATGGTAAATAAAGATATACAAGGCTACGACGCACGACTCAAGGATAACTTGAGACTGCCACGTGTAAGAAGAAACTGGGGAAAAGAAAGGACCCATTAACAAGCTGTTAAAGACTGGAACAGTCTAGATCTGTGGCATACAACACGCGTAGATAGGTAGAACGACACATACAGCACAGGAGGCTATGAGAACCGATTTGTTCCGATTTGTTCCACATCATGTGCTTATCACCAAGAACAATGATGTTCTACTTTTACCTAGTAAAAGTATTTTCTCTTTAGTCAGTTGACTTGCAACAACAGGATATCCTTGTCGCTATGGTAATCAATACAACAACATCATATTTGTGCAACATTCAAACTCAACAACAACATAAGCTCTATTTGCATGACTATATGAGTTACAGTATTAATTGCAAAAGCTTTAAGACAGAATTACAATTTAATATACTAATGATAATACAATGCAATGATTACAATAGTCAATCAAGTGTCATCAGTATGATTTGATAACAAATTATTACGTAAATCATTATTACTTAATGAAACAAATTTCAACAAATGTGAATTTACAGAAAAATTCTGAGAATTCATCAATTTAATTACTAATTCTGTGCAAGATAGCTGATTAAAATCGACAAAACTTTGTTGGATTTGATTGTAGAAGTTTTCCCTTGGGACTGAATACTTTGGACAATGCAAGAGAAAATGAAATTCGTCTTCAATTATACCAGAGTTACAAACAGGGCAGAATCTATCGTTGTGGGGATTTTGATTATATCTTCCAGTTTCAATATAATCATGAGTTTGTGGTTACTTATACGAATTTTCACTAACTCTTTCCTATTGGTTGAATTTCTTGTTAAAAAATCTAGATAACTTATATTTTATAATCATGTAATTCGTGAGCTTGGGACGCCCGTGGAAACATAAATCAAAATATGAGTCAGAATATACTTGCTTGGTTCTCACTTATTTTTTTTTTTGATTAGTGTGCCTAACATTAGTAATATAAAAATTACAACTTGCCGATTATTAACCACCGGCGACAATTCACGTATCTAACATCATCACCCCAGGCATCATTAACATCATAGAAATCAAAAGCGAGCAATGAATTTTTTTCCGGCGAAATTTCTCAAAAGCAGCAGTGACCTTTAAAACTGCTGTCTGTATTTCACCTAAAAAAATTGTTTTGATTTAAATAAGTAATCAAAGCCACCCTTTTATATACTTATGACTAGTACAATTAGTTGTTTACGGAAAGCATGAATAACTCAACGAACATGCGATTTTCCTATGGCGTGACCCGCAAACATAATTGGCCCGGTTTACTCGCGCCACTCGCCGGTCTTTTGGTGGTATTGGGGTGGTAAAAAGTATGGGCTTCAAATTTTAAAACCAGGGTCTCGAATCTCGAATCTTTTGTCCTTTTACAAGTTATGCATACATGTGCAAGTGGACGTCACAACATTTGAAAGAAGCCCTTCTCTGCGATTACATCACATGATCACATGGTTTGAAATAAGAAAACAAAACATGCAAGCTTACAAAGTCTATTGTCTTCGGCTTAGTCACAAAGTGATTTTCATTGATCCCATGCTATTAATTTCTTCCCCTTGTACTTCATCCGTAGATAGTCATAGAGACGATAGGAAACAGTTTCAGTTTCTAATTAGTCTTTAGGGTTATAAATAACAAATTGAAAGTGGACACACATCTTTGAAATTCAATTGCAGTGAAGACACGATTTAAGCATTGTAAACAGATAGCAAATTACTTGACGTTATTTGCTTATAGGGAACAACCTACTACATGAGTGACATGCCAATGACCTTGACTAGCCTTAAAAACTATAGTCTTTATTTCACCTAGAAACGTTTTTGAACTTGGTTTAAATAAGTAATAAACTTCCCCTTTTTCAGAATTATGACTAGGCCGATTATTTGTTATCGGAAAGCATATATCTGATGCATTACTCATGCTCAAACATGTGATTCTGATACGGCGTGACCCGGAAAAGTCAAAATATTATTGGCAAGTCTACCCGTCTTTCTGGTACAATGTATAATTATATTTCCGATGCTGAAAATATTGTCAACCAGTCATTCGGCAAAGCGGACGTTTGGTATACATGGATTAGTTTCCTTTGGTGCTGATGAGGTTTATTAGGTTCTGAAATGCCGACAAATGGTAGCAGTTCAAAAAAAGAGAACTCCCGGAACACAGTCAAGCTGAAGATGGTGCGCTCTGAGGGCGGACGACAATGGCTGGTTTGTGCTTTTGCTTTCTTAGCTCAGTTTGCAGTGGTTGGATTCATGATGACTGGAGGGGTTTTGTACACAAAATTAATCGACGAATTTAAAGCCTCGAGAGGAGCTACAGGTATGAAGGAAGTCTGTGTGAGTCAAGTTAGGTATAACTGACTTACTTTTCGTATTACTTCAGAGTTAATACAGTGTAGAATAATGTATGAATGGTCCATAAAGCCTTTTAAGAATGAAAGACTGGCTTTTAAAACTTTTTCGTGGCGAGAGGCCATTTGACGGGTGAAAGTTACTGTTTTGGTAAAACGGAGTAAAACTTACAACCCTGCAAACTGGCTTTAATTTCTTCCTGTTAAGGCTGTATTTATTTTTATTTTCCCTTTTGTTAAGGGATGATCTTGCATCATTTTTTTTCACTGTTATACATTGAACTCATGACCATGCATCTGTTAAATTTCTGATGGGCCAAGAGCGGTAATTCACTTGTAATTCACGATGAACATAACTGAGGGACTCGCGGGTAAACGTTTTCAGGAAACTTAGAACTGTTTCCTCGACCATTACTATTCTCTGTATCAAAAAATATCTGATTCACTCAATTAGTATTTATTCTTCGCGAAGCAACCTCTCAAAGGTGCGAGTCGACAAGGGTTTATAAATTTGCCGGAGTTCACGTCCAGCGAAATCTAGTGTTGCCTCTATGATAAGAGGAAGTTACTGTCGGCAGTTGCCTAGCAGCAAAATACAACAAAATCATATCTCACCCCCGAACTCCTTTTAACAGCTTATAATTTAATCGTCTGAAAAAATCGGTTAACTAGTGCTCGAGACGTCGGGTGTTTCGCATTAGATTTTCGCGCGAGCCACGGCAAGTGTCACCCTTAATTTTTACCATTTCTGCTCCAGGACTTTTGATTGACCGCTCTCGCGTGCGTTCTTGGCCTACGCAAAAATACGGACTGCTTTGCAATCTTCTAGAATTTTTAATTAAATAGTTTTTTCCTCAGCCTTTATGGCATAAGCTGTGGTATTCAGTTTGCTGAATCACAAATAAACATCCCTTTAAGCGCTTCATAGAGCCAGTTAAGGACACACGTATTGTTTTAGTCCTCTCAACCCCCGCAAGATGGGTAGTGCAAATGTGCCGCGTTTTGTTTACAAAGAGGCACCCGTCTTAGACTACGACTAGTCCCCATTTTTCCTCAAAAATGGGGACTACTTATAGTCTACACCAGTCTTTATTTTCAAAAGTTCATCGTGCGAGGAGCGGAGCTTTACAGACCTTTACGGTCAGTCTACTGGAAAATAGTCAGTTTTGTTTACATTTTTATAAGTAATTTATTTGTATTCATTATCCTTTACAAACTTCTGATCAGTACTGAAGTTATAGCTTAATGTAATACTGTTCTAACTCCGGCTCTTGCCAAATACAGAGGATAAGCCTGTTATGCTGTTATGATTATAATGTTTGAGTTCACCTAAAGGCCATCTTCTTCTTATAAGTTGAACAGGCTCATTAGTCAGATGCCAGTTTTTGACATGTTTTATAATAACATCACTATTTTCATAATTTACTATTATATAGCCTTAAATTATTTTCTTGTTCATCATCAGCATGGGTGAGCTCTCTAACGCCTTCCGTTTTGTACTTCTGTGCCCCTTTGAGCACGTCACTAAGCGAGCGGTTTGGTTGCCGAGTTGTGACGATATCCGGGGGTTTGACGTGCATTCTTGCCATGGTCCTGTCCTCATTCTACACCAGTATCCTTCATCTTTATTTCACCCACGGAGTACTTTGGGGTGTTGGATTGTCCCTTAGTTACTTTCCTACGTTTTTGATCGTCGCACAGCACTTCAAGAATTCGAAGCGTTTGTCTTTAGCCACTGGTATAATCACCTTTGGCGGTTCCCTCGGTACATTGACATTAAGCCCTGGACTACAGTGGATGTTCAACAGATTTGGACTTTCCACTTCGTTTCGCATTCTTGCAGCAGTTCAAGTGGTAATTATTGTCTGTGGAATGACTTTTTGTCCTGTGAAAGACAACGAGGTACTCTCTCAAGAAACCAAGAAGAAGTATTTTGATTTGTCCATTTGCAAGAATCGAGCACTCATCGTTTTCATCGTCGCATTAGGTTTCAACATGTTAGGCTACTTGGTCCCTTTTGTTCATCTGGTGAGCTAAATTATTTTAGATGAATCAGCTATGTACATTTTTATTTTTTTTATCGTTATTATTCATTTAAAATTTTTCTTAGTTACTGGCTGCTAACTGTGAAAGGTTTGAACCCAGGAGTCATTTCATGAGTAGGTTGAGTATGATCGTCTGGGGAGCCATGTCCAGCCCTGGCCATGAAATCCAGAGTTTCTTCACTTCTTACTTAGTTCCACACTTCTCAGAGGTGTGGAAGTGTGGAGTAGTCTGACAAAGTTAGGATATTGTCGCACCTTTCCCCCAGTCATGAACCTCTTGTCATTCTTTACTTAGTTCCACACTTCTCAGAGGTGAGGAAGGGTGGAATAGTCTGACAAAGTAAGGATAATGTCACACTTCTGCCCCAGTCATGAACCTCTTGTCATTCTTTACTTAGTTCCACACTTCTCAGAGGTGAGGAAGGGAGGAATAGTCTGACAAAGTAAGGATAATGTCACACTTCTGCCCCAGTCATGAACCTCTTGTCATTCTTTTTTTAGTTCCACACTTCTCAGAGGTGAGGAAGGGAGGAATATTCTGACAAAGTAAGGATAATGTCACACTTCTGCCCCAGTCATGAACCTCTTGTCATTCTTTACTTAGTTCCACACTTCTCAGAGGTGAGGAAGGGTGGAATAGTCTGACAAAGTAAGGATAATGTCACACTTCTGCCCCAGTCATGAACCTCTTGTCATTCTTTACTTAGTTCCACACTTCTCAGAGGTGAGGAAGGGAGGAATAGTCTGACAAAGTAAGGATAATGTCACACTTCTGCCCCAGTCATGAACCTCTTGTCATTCTTTACTTAGTTCCACACTTCTCAGAGGTGAGGAAGGGTGGAATAGTCTGACAAAGTAAGGATAATGTCACACTTCTGCCCCAGTCATGAACCTCTTGTCATTCTTTACTTAGTTCCACACTTCTCAGAGGTGAGGAAGGGTGGAATAGTCTGACAAAGTAAGGATATTGTCGCACTTTTCCCCCAGTCATGAACCGCTTGTCATTCTTTACTTAGTTCCACACTTCTCAGAGGTGAGGAAGGGTGGAATAGTCTGACAAAGTAAGGATAATGTCACACTTCTGCCCCAGTCATGAACCGCTTGTCATTCTTTACTTAGTTCCACACTTCTCAGAGGTGTGGAAGTGTGAAATAGTCTGACAAAGAAAGGATATTGTCGCACTTTTCCCCCAGTCATGAACCGCTTGTCATTCTTTACTTAGTTCCACACTTCTCAGAGGTGTGGAAGTGTGGAAAAGTCTGACAAAGTAAGGATAATGTCACACTTTTCCCCTGGTCATGAAACTCTGTCATTCTTTACTTAGTTCCACACTTCTCGAAGGTTGGAAGTGTGGAAACGTCTGACAAAGTTAGGATAATGTCACACTTTTCCCATAGTCACGAACCCGTTGTCATTCTTTACTTAGTTCTACACTTCTCAGAAGTGTAGAAGTGTGGAATTGTCCGACAAAGTAAGGATAATCTCACGACCCTTTGTCATTCTTTACCTAGTTCTACACTTCTCCACTTCTTCCACACTTCCACAGAACTAAGTAGAACTAAGTAAAGAACGACAGAGGTTTCGTGACCAGGGGAAAAGTGTGACATTATCCTGACTTTGTCAGACTATTCCACACTTCTACACGTTTGATAAGTTTGGAACTTGGGATGAGAAAGGAAAGTAGGGTTATTTCACACTTCCACACCTCAGAGAAGTGTAGAACTAAGGATGAAAAAGGAAAGTAGGGATCTTGTGGCCAGCGCTGGACATTTGTGGTTGTATCACGTCAGTTGATGGTAGCGTCATTGTCACGTTATTGAATTCTAATACAATGGAATATCAAATCCTGGCCAAAAGCACTGAAGAGGGCTAGGTTTTCGGCAGGTACTACCGACTGCAGCGGGGAAGGGTAAGAAGGAAAGAGAAAATTTGTACGATATGCATTATCCATGCAAGTCACAGCTTTAGCGGGAGTAGCCTCCCCGTAGACGTCCTTTGGGGTTCCTTTGTCATTGAATTGAATGCGTGACAAACGAACCCCAAGGGACGTCTGCAGGGAGGCTATAGCGGGAGACGATTTGGATCCGGGGGGGGGGGTACTCGATATATCCTTGGGTGGGGAGGTGTGGCCCGGCCCCTCATACCCTGACCCTGTTTAAGACAAAAATCGCTGATTTTCCTTCCCTGTTTAAGACAGAATTCCGATTTTTGATACCCTGTTTAAGACATTTAACCCGAAACCAAAAAAAAAGAAAAATGCTGTAGTTTAGTTCGTAGAACATAGGCGCAGGCTGTTTATCGTCCAAGAAAAGATACCCCCTTTAAGACTAGACTGCCAGCAGTTCTTGGCAAAGTTACTGAACGCGAAACCTAAGCACGCGAGCGGCGAGGCCGCTTGTCGCGAGAAACGAGGGCGTAAGCTGAGAAGAAAAAATAAGAGACATTTTTTTTCTGAGGGAGGGGGGACGTCTGTACACAGGCTTTCTTTTTTCGTCTCGTCTGGACGGATTTTAAGAGAAAAGGCGGACTGCAAGTAGTCTAGTTTAAGACAAAAATTGATAAAATCGATACCCTGATTAGGACAAAAAATGATAAAATCGATACCCTGTTTAAGACAAAAATCTCGAAAAACTTACCCTGGCTGGTCGCACGTCCCCATTAAGTCCTTATAATGGAGTAACCCCCCGGTATTTGGATCAATTTAGGTTTCTGGGAAACTGCCCACCTACCCCTCCCTTAAGCCATCATTAACGCTTACTTCTCGTTTAGGGCAAAATGTTGGCTTATGGGAGGGGGAGGTGGGCAGTTTCCCAGAAAGCTAAATTGACGACGATTTTTGCATGAAGTTTTTTTGGTGCCCTAGCCTGACGAAATCTTTTTAGTTAGTGTCTGAGATTTTTCTCTCCAGCAATAAGCTTACTAGGTCTACTAAATAAAAGACATAATTTATATAGCAGCATTTGTCTTTCGACAGCGATTCTGTCAAAGCGCGAGCATTTGGTTTTGGTATCCAGTGCCCTCTGTTTACATGTATATGACCCCCATGTATGCATTCGGTTTTTTTAATAGGTGAGGATGGCTGAAGAACGTGGTGCCAGTCCAACAGAAGGTGCTTTGTTGATCAGCTACGCTTCTGCTGCTTCTGGCATCGGGCGTTTACTTTTCGGCACAATGGCCGACTGTAAACGTTTCAGCAAGTTCTACATTTGGCGAACTGGTTTATTAGGAATGAGCGTGTCATCAACTTTGGTAATCATAGCTCGTTCCTATGAATGGTTCGTAGTATACGCATTCACTTTCGGATTATTCGAGGGTTGTTACGTGACGTTAACTCCATTACTGGTCAGATACATTGTGGGTGTCAGAAAATTTCCTTATGGTCTCGGATTGGCTTATTTTTCGATGTCGTTTACAAGAAGCGCTGGTCCACCAATTGCTGGCTGGATTTACGACAGTTTTCACAGCTACAAAGTGCCATTTTTGTATACAGGCTTTGTGATTTTTACAGGGTGTTTTATTTCTTTCTTAGTTTCTTTACTCCAGGAAAGGAATACACGAACTGAAGCCGACGACACGAGTAATTTACAGTCTACCGGAGTCGACCGAGAGACTGATGTTTAAACTACACGTACATGTAGCCTACACCGCACTAAAAATTGATTTAAAAAAGATCTGTTTCAGCTCTGGCCGGAAGTGACAATTCACCTCTGTCAGCCAAATTCTGATTCAGCCTCTCCAGGAGCCATTCAAGCACAATTTTTGCCAAAATACGTAGCTCAATCAAAAGCCTAGTATTCCAGCCCACGCTGGGACACATTTCAGCCCTTGGGTCCAAATTAGCCCCAGGTTATTGGACTGTACTGGCTCTTATTAAGTTAGCCAAATTAGACTAAAAAATGGGACTGCATTAATTTCATTACTTACCTAAACGGCAACATTTTTACGGGGATAAAACAGATCTTTCTCATTTACATGTATGGTGCATGGAAGTGCATGTGTAGGAGCCTAGCCTATTCTTAGCTTGTAGCCAAGAGAGGATAAAGGGGACAGAGAAGGCATCCCCCATACACACCCTATTCCACTGGTAATTCGTCTCGAGTTATTTTTAACACCACAGATCTCAAGGGCTATTAGACAACAGCCAATCACATAGCGCGAATGTGTTCCGCGTGGATGACCCACGGTCAGAGCCATGCGTCCTTCACGAATTGACGCAGAACAAAATGGCGGAAGACGCGGAGAGCTTTATTGCTATTCGTTTTGTCGACGAAAACGACTACAGAGAGATTTCTGATAAAGCTGTGTCAGCGAAAGGGAAATTTAAAAAGAATCGCCCTTCTTCTCTTGTATAGAGCTAACAGTACAGCAGGGAAATCCTTAACATACTGAATATTCTCTCAGGATCATTTATAATTTACAGTTTGAAGAGAGCAATTTCTGGTTTGATATTTATTCTTTGATTAGTCTTTTATTATTCAAAAACAATAACACTTGGCGTCCTACTTGCTTTATTGTACAAAAGACCGGTTTCAATAGACCGGAGAAATTTCTCATTTTATTAAAGTCCTGAGGTTACGACAACTTCGAGTTAAACTGATTTCACGGGTTTTAAAGAGTCCAGCGATTCCCTTTTCCCAGGTGAGCACGCACTCATTTCGCTTCAATATTCAAGAATGCTCTTGATCTCTTTACGCTTTCATTTCCTTCCGCCCGACATGTTTTGCACGGCGTTTAGTCATGCGAAACCTCCACGAAACGTCCACGCAGCGCGCGCGGTAACTTTATCCCGATTTTAAAAGTAACTCGAGACGAATTACCTATGGAATAGGGTGTTTATGGGGGATGCCTTCTCTGTCCCCTTTATCCTCTCTTGCTTGTAACGTCATTTATTGCCGTTTTCGCTGACATATGTACGAAAATGATTAGCATAGCAGTATTCTTTAAATCTCCGCCAAATTTAAAATAACCATACATTTCGTACTCTCAAGGAAATCGCTTCTATTGATGCTCAAACCAATATATCATGGTTTCTACAGTGTTATCAAAATAAACTAATACCAACTGAGAGTTACTACGACCGTTTTTTTCTAAAAGAAACTATCATTTTTCAAAGTAACTGCACCTTAATGGTATTTGGAAAAGCCGAAAATTATCTAGTATAATTCAAAGTTATAAACGACTATTATTGCTAGTAGTCTTTCTGCTAATAAATGAGACACCCTCGGAAACAGAGAACAAAGAACTAGCTCTCACATTGGCTTAGCTGATTGTATAATATTAAAGAGAACTTAATTCAGCTGTTAATTTATCCATGCGTGGAATTACATTTGTTTTCATTGGTGGCCATTTTGAATTTTGCGCGAGAAATCGAGAAAATCTTAGGAGCGTTCTCATCTCTTCAAAATTTATCACTTCATTATCATGTTACTCGGCTAGCCTTTTCCAGGCGTTCCGATAGTGGAGTGCGGCGCGGGATCTCTTTGCGCCGTCCCCACGATCTGAACGCCTGGAACAGGCTATCACTCGGCAAGCGTTCGGATCTTTCTAGAGTTTTCCGACTGTTCCAGACTCCATCCCCATACACGGAAATAAAAAATAACAAAAATCTTAAGAAGGCCTGAGAATAGGAGGCCTACTGAACCCCCAGAATCATTGCCGTGGAGCCTAGAAAAACTCTGAATACATGGTCACCAAATAGGCACAAACTTAATATGGCGGAAAACATGATGGTCGATCCCATAGTGGCCGTTTTATAATTTATGGGTTTTTATGTAAAGGTTTATATGAGGATCGAATAGTATCCCATGATGCATTTTTCCAGAAGCATCACGCAATATCGCAGTCATAGCAGATTCCATCGTGAAATAAGGTCGTTTTCTCGTCGGCTTTTACTCACTCGATTTCCAGTAAAAGTAAAAAAATTACATTATTTCGTTATTTGACATGATTTCTCCGATTTGCAATGGCTTAAGAGCGAAGTTTCCACTTAGAAACATTTATTTTCACGGTTTCAATTAGTCTTCCCATCACAAAGTGTTCAGTGACCCACAACCAGGTCATGAATATTCAAGGTTTTTTGGAATATATGTTGAAATCTTACAAATGTGGACCTCACGCCAGCAAAATGAAGTCCTGAATATTGTACAAGCCAAGAAGTACCCAGAAGTACCCACATTTTGAAGACTTTTTTGTCGACCAAAGATGGCTGAAATTTCGAATCTTTTATCACATTTCAACGCCATGTGTCATAATATATGTGTAAAGCCTGATGAAGGCTACAATCTGTTGGGCGCTTTTGAGAGCCCTTTATGCCGAAGCAATCACTTTGTATTTTCAAAGAGGTTATTTTTAAAAGGAATTTGACTATAATTATTTTAATTCGAAGAAGGAGCGGTGTATAACGGTGTGTTTCAGTGTGAAAAGAACCCAAAGAAAGGAACCACGCAGCATGCAAGCCGGCACAACGTAAACTGAAGCCTGCTCAGAATTCGAAAAAGAAACATCATGCAGAAACTTTATTTATTCAAAAGAACAGATCAGTATTCTGGCCAGGAAATTTCCTTGAAGATTGCTTGAGTCAGTACCGGGTAGACTGTGCTTCAGAGAATTGTTTGTCGCATCGATAGGTTAAATTTTATTTGTAACTGCCATTGTAAACTTCAGCTCCTTTGAGCGCGATGCTGTAATAAATTATCCTTTGGTAATTAGCTTCACAGCGTTGCGGATGTTTTGTTGGAAGCACTTTATAGATCAGTCATAGTTTTGGTTCTCCTCTGGCCTGGGGTTCTCCTAGTGAACCTAGCGAAGCTTATCAATTGCGAGTCTTATAATTTGTGTTTACAGTGCGACCGAGCGCGGCACAAGTAGTTCTCGACAGATCAGTGAAATACATGTAAAACCCTTCTCAGTCAAAGCAACGCTGAAATTCTCCTTTAAAGCACAGTGAATATTAGCCAACTCAATAACCTCAAAAGCAGAAGCTGCTGAAGGAGGGGGACATTGGGGGGTACCCAATACCGCAATACCGTAAGAAAAAATGGCAAATACCGAAATACCGCGTCGAAAATCGTCTAAATACCGATACCGCATATTTTAATCACATTCATAATCGGTTCCGCATACTTATGGGTGCTTCCATCTAGCGCGTTTAATTATCTCAGGCATTTATGCACCAGATGTCCATGTTTTTTTAATATTTTGGTAGTTGGCAAATTTTTGGCAAATTTTCACTGAAAAGAACCTTTTGGTAAGTCGACCCAACAGCTAACTAACTCCAATAAAAATAACTCTTGAAAGCGCGAAAAAAAAAACAAAAAACAAAACAAAAAACAAACCAACCAAAACCCTTTCCACGCACGTCTAGTGCGAGTTTGGATGAGTCTATAGTCTAGTATGTCAGTATCTCAGGGGTCAACTATCTCGACTGTCTCCCCAGTGGGGAGGAGCGTTGCGTGACGGCACTAAAAACAGCTGAGTAGCAGACTGGCACACGTACACAGATCGAAAAGCCTGGTAAGGCAACTTGAGGTGACTCATTGTCATTGGATGCAACAACAATCACATTGTGTATTATCGACCATTAACTGTCACAAAATGACCCACAATGGTTTAATCATTTACCGTTATGTCTCAAGACTTCTAAATATTAACTTTTATTGACCTTTATGTCCTACTGTGTTTTGTTTTGCGTATTGTATCGAAAAGAAAGCGCAAATAAACGGTCCCGTAATACCGTGAACAATCTTATTTCACCGAATACCGTCAGCCAAAAAGATGAAAACCCGCATACCGCAGAGCTAGATGATACCGCAATACCGCACGTTAAAATTAAAATTACCGAAATACCGCATGAAAAAAAGCCCAATACCGCAATACCGTAAACCCCCATGTCCCCCTCCTGAAGCGAAACATGTTTGGAAACCATCCACATCGAGCACTGCGATCGATGTTCACTTCGCGCGTGCTGAAGATTACTGATCATGATGTGTCATGTACGCAGTGATAATATAACATGAATCGAGGTGCATCATGGGATACTATTCGATCGTCGTCTGTATAGAGAGAAAACCGTTTCCGTTTGACTTCTACATCATGTGCTTCTCACCTGTATGTTCTACGTTTACCTAGTAAAAGTACTTTCACACCCGCCAGAGAACTTTGACATCATAACTTATCTTAGTAACAGCACGACATCCTTGTCGCTATGGTAATCAATACAACAACAACGGTATTTGTACAGCATTCAAACACGTGCATTTGCGATGACATGACCTCCAGACAGGTATGTATCGGCTGACCCATATTCGCTTGCCGGGATTTCTAATTTTGCAATAATAACTGTATTGTGATCAACGTCAAGACATTCATTTTATTTTAGTATGAGAAACATAATGAATTTTTTAAAGCTTGAAGTACAGTGATGAAAGCACCTTACAGAAGGAAGGAAACAAATACCAAAATATGAGTCAAAATATACTGGCTTGGTTCTCACTATTTTTTTTGCCCAACATTTCGTAAAATGTCACTGTGAAATAAACTTGCCGATTAACCACCGGGGACAGTTCACGCAACAACATCATCACCCCAGGCATCAGTAACATCACAGAAATCAGAAGTGAGGA